TTTTCTGTACCAGATATTAAGTTTCATTTTTCTGTACCAGATATTAAGTTTCATTTTTCTGATGTATCAAATACTTATTTCACACAATAAAATGGAAATTAATAATTTAAAATTCATACATTGTATTTTTCTGGATTTTTGTTTTAGATTCCATCACTCACAGTTGAAGAGTACCTATGATAAAAATTACAGTCATCTACAAGCTTTGCAAGTGGGAAAACCTGAAAAATCAACAGTGTATCAAATACTTGATCTCCCCACTGTACATCCAATCAATCTATAGATGTCCCTCCCCCTTCGATGTCAATCAAACAATCTAGAGCTTAGTATGGTTGAACAGCAGCCAACTAGACGATGCACAGTCACATGGTTGTTCGACGTTCGTTTTCGCAAACACTTGTCATAGCTCCTGGGCGACCCCTCCCACTGCAGCATATGTCACTGCAGGGGGTTTCCTCCCACTAGAGTCTACGATGGGGAGAAAAGTCTGAGACTGGTCACTGGACATTTGTGCTCAAATCTGTCCTGGTTAAACCCTGAGTTCGTAACGTGAAATACACTGTAATATGAATAGACAAACAAAAAGCATMTTCATGTAATTTCAGTGTTCTTTTTGATGGTTTCATGTGAGTTGAAGACAATATTTTTTGTGTATGTTCAAGCAAAACAAGCTTATACCAGTGGTTTGAGTTTAAGTTTAAAATTAAATGTTGCAAAATGTAGCTCTTCAATTTCATTTTGTGAAAGTAGCTCTTAAGGAAAAACAAGTTGGGAGACCCCTGCTGTAAATAAATAAGTTTTCAGACACTGTTGCTTCTCTTCTAATAAGATTTTAACTTTATTTAATGTATCGTCTGGTGTTTTAATAAACATTGTTTGTCTCTTTCTGTGTTGTAGTTAAGAGCCATCCCTTTGGCAGTGAGTTTGACTCCTTATATGTAAGTATATATTTATAAAATCATAATTTAAACCTTATTCTGTCTTTTCTTTTCACAGAATTATAAAGGTTTTTTAATGTGTAGAGCAAACAATGGATGGTTGTATTTTTCCCGCTTATTGATATTTTACATAGAGTGCCTTTTTAAATAAAAAAACAGTTTTCATATTAACTTCCTTCCATTATCTTTACCACTTGTTGCTTTCTGGCTTCCCCAGTTTCACTTGTTGGCCCTGGACTAACGCCTCTGCAAAGAAGGCAGATGCTGATAAAAAGTATGCAGATMATTTTAAGCAAAGGAGCACTATTTAGAGTTAGAATAACTGCTAGTAATTGATGGTCAAGACCTGTACAAGCTCAGTAAACTGCAGATGAAAAGGTCCTGCCAGCAGAGCCCCACGCAGACATCTTGAATTATTTGTGTTTATAAAGGAGGCGGACAATAAAATTTTTGCGGGTGGACCAGAGATAGATGGTCCTTCCAGTTTGATGAGAAGTGCCTGGAAAAGGCGTGGTAAATGATATTTGAATGGTTGACTATCAAGTGTACTGCACAAATTCAGTTTCATCTAATAAAAGGAACAGTACGGTAGTAGGAATGTGCGATATGGCAAAAAATTCATATCACGATATACATTATGATGAGTGGCGGTAACGATATATATCACGATATAAAACTTATAATAGAAAATAAATAAATCACAAATTGAGTGAAATGTATAAATACAGTATATGT